CATGTTAGTAGTATCCAGGTTTAGTGTATCATTTGCTTTGTTAATTCTTTAGTCACCTGTCAGTAACTACTGTTTTCTTCTTTACAACCATGTTAGTAGTATCCAGGTTTAGTGTATCATTTGCTAAGCTAATCCTTTAGTCATCTGTCAGTAACTACTGTTTTCTTCTTTACCACCATGTTAGTAGTATCCAGGTTTAATGTATCATTTGCTAAGTTAATCCTTTAGTCATATGTCAGTAACTACTGTTTTCTTCTTTACAACCATGTTAGTAGTATCCAGGTTTAGTGTATCATTTGCTAAGTTAATCCTTTAGTTATCTGTCATTAACTACTGTTTTCTTCTTTACAACCATGTTAGTAGTATCCAGGTTTAGTGTATCATTTGCTTTGTTAATTCTTTAGTCACCTGTCAGTAACTACTGTTTTATTCTTTACAACCATGTTAGTAGTATCCAGCTTTAATGTATCATTTGCTAAGTCAATTCTTTAGTTATCTGTCAGTAACTACTGTTTTCTTCTTTACAACCATGTTAGTAGTATCCAGGTTTAGTGTATCATTTGCTAAGTTAATCCTTTAGTCATCTGTCACTAAGTACTGTTTTCTTCCTTCTTTACCACCATGTTAGTATTATTCAGGTTTAGCATGTACCATGACATGAAAGTCCTTGTTTATTTTGCATCATTCCTTTCTGCATTCATTGTGACATACTGCATGAATATATATATATATGTTTTTGTTTTCATACAGTCTTACATTCTGTGTCACGAATTCTTTCAAGTATGATGACAAACTGCAATATTTGAAAACTAAGTATAAAAGTAGCTTAAAAATGGGTTCTCTTCCAGAATTCTCGTCATTTTGGGTTCCGTAGTCTAGTCTTTAAACATCATTAATATTTGAAATACTGAACACATTGTAATTTATATATTCGAAAGACATTCCGTTTATGTGTGATATAGATTAATGACTGTATTTTGGATCTGTTAGGCTAGAGACCTATGTAAGGTAAGATTTAGTAATGTAAAGAAAATATTTTTCTACAAATGTAGAAGTTTTTGTTGCTTTGAAGATATTTGGATCCCTCCAAACTGTACATTTATAGTTCCATTTTTGTATTTATCTCTGTGTTTTTGTATGTTCCACAGGAATTCAGGGCTGATGCTCTGCACGGACTGCATTGTGACATGCAATGGATGAGTAACAACTAGTCAAATTTAATCTTAAACTTTGAACAGTTATGTCATGAGATTTAACATGGTTTGAGTGTTAATTTAGTTAGATTTAGGCTTAGCAAAATTAATGAGTGTGAAAATACTATGCATATTATTTTTTGTGTTTAATGAGCTAATTTAAGCTCCATAATTATTGCAAAATGTGAACAATTCTTTGTATCTTACAAGTTCTTGATTGGTACTTTAGATTATAGGGCACTCTCAGTCTATATTATTTTAGAGGCATAATGACAAATGCTGAACTGTCAGTTTAGAACTAAACACAAACAACTAAAAAACAGTCCCAGAAATAGTTATTTTAGTAATCCAGAACATGATCTATCAGTGACAGAACTGTTAACCCAGTTTCACGTGAAACTGAGTTTACAGTTCTGTCACTGACAGATCATGTGAAACTGAGTTTACAGTTCTGTCACTGACAGATCATGTGAAACTGTGTTTACAGTTCTGTCACTGACAGATCATATGATCTGTCAGTGACAGAACTGTAAACCCAGTTTCACATGATCTATCAGTGATAAAACTGTAAACACACTTTCACATGATCTGTCAGTGA